GGCCAGCTTTTTTATGTCTGTCTAAAATTGTGGGTGGGATAACGCTCTACAGGTGGAGGGAGGAGGTAGAGAGGATCATTTAAAAGCCCTTTAAATAATGCACGGGTATTTAATGTGATCATTTCATGCAAATAGTAAGCAGTACTCGTGTTACTGCCTCATTAGCACAGTTCTGTTCCCTTGATCAATATGGATTGTGGCTGAGGCACATTTTCCAGTGTGGTATCTCTTTTTTAAAAAAAAAAAAGATCACTAGTATTGCTCTCTGAGCTCTGTTAAATCCCAGAACCTTATTTCCTTTCTCTTCTCTTTTTTCTTTTTCTTTTTTTTTTTTTTGAGCCCTTTACAGCTGAAGTGGACTTTGAAACTAGTTGCTTACATTGCCAGTATGAGTTTGTCATACTACTTTCACGTCCTGACTGTCCTGATGATCTGAGAGAGCTTAAATATATCCCAGTACCTGTGAGAATTCATGGAGCAGGGCAGAGAGATTATAGAGAAAGAGAAGAGTAGCTAGTGATGAGTCAAGGTAACACCGTTACTGAGAATAAGCAACTATTTTATGTAAAGGGAGTTCTGGTGTCCTTCCAAAAGGAGGACCTCCTGACCCACCTTGGCAAAGTGGACAGTTGGCTGGCCTAGACACCGCTGTCTGTAGTGACCGAAATGCTCGCCTCTCACCACTTGTAAAGCGCTCTGAGCATCCTGAGGAAACAGGCATGTATCTGTTAAGCAGTTTGTCCAAGATCAAAGAGGGAGTCCCTGGCTGTCTACTAGTTACTGGTCTTCTGCCTTATCGAGTGAAATTCAAGAGGGAGCTACCTTGAAGATATCTGTGAAAACATTGGTGACACGTGAAGAAGCAAGTAGTGGCTACAAGTGTGTGTTTTCTTGAAATAACAATTTTTCTCGTGTCTGATGTTATTGTTTGAACAGTGATGGGTTGGGAATATGGAGTAGACGGGAGTACAGTTCCCCAAAATGCTGAAATCCAATCTTGAAATGTGATGCCTAAATGCTTTCAGTCCTTGTCAGAATTGAGGTTAAAGACTGTGGCGTAATTCAAACTTCTTACTGTTTTGCCTCCTGTGCCTTACTGTCCCGTACCGTAGTTCTTGACTAGCTCGCTTTCTTTCAGAGGCTGACCAAGCAGGAATTCTGGCAGCTGGTGCACCAGAGCTATGGCTCTGAACTGGGCCTGAACAGTGAGGAAATGGAGAGCTTCCACTCATCGTCTGAGGACAACGGGCAGCCTCGGTAAGGGGAGTCTATAAAGCTTATTGAAATACTCAGGGAGAAGCAGAGTCCTCTTTCTTAGAAATTCTTTTTCCAAAGTTCTGCTGTAGCCTTACCAGAAAGGTTGAGCCTATAGTAAAAGGCTCAAAGAACGGAACTGCATAAACTGACATGCATAAAAACTTAATTGTGTTCATTGTCTGAAATAGTAGGAGCACAGCTGAGGCCGCTTAGAGGAGGAAGATAGGAAGACCTTGTTCTCCCTGGATCTGCTTGGGGATATCAGCAGGATAGCTTAAATAGCAATGTTTTCTCATGGTGGTATCCAGTTAGGATCTGTATGCCCTTCAACAATATGGAAGGGCTGAATGGAATGGAGCTATACATGATGTTCAGACACTTTTTCCTCTCCTCTACAGAGACTGAAACACTTGTTTTGCTTTGTTCTCCTGATGTCTGAGGTCTTAGCTTTTTTTTAATATTGTCCTCAGCTTGAATTAGGAAGCTGGAATAATCTAACTATGGATTTATTTTTTTTTAAACGGTTGCCTTGATTTTTTGGATCAAATGTGAACTAACTCATGAACTGCTAGTGTCAATCTAATAACAGGGCTTTAATTTTTGTATCTATAAGTAAATAAGTATGACTCTACAAAACTGAACAAGTAATTTATGTCTCTTTTCAATCCTGTGTTATCTGAGTATGTTTGTTAGAAAAAAAATAAACAAACCTTAAGCTCACTGCAAGCTTCAACAGATGTCCTATTAAATATTCCTGGTTTGTTTTGTTTTTTTCCCTGTAAAAAATGCATTACTCTGCAGCTCTGGAATAAGGGATGCAGGAAAAAAATTCTTGTCTCCAAACTTTCTTAAACACTTTCTTTCCAAATTTGTTCTAAGCTATCTGTTTCCTCTTTTACCACAGCACTCACTTTCCTTCTGATTCACCAGTGCTTGGTTTTACTAACATTGTGGTCAGAAGCTGAATCTTCTGAGAGGTGGCTAGGGTAAGGAAAATGGCCTGAGAGATTAATGAGCTGGATGTGGTAGTTCTAAATATTAGCTGAACAGCCATGGTTTGAATGCAAAGATCACACATGAGAAGCTTTCTCAGATTTTTCAGCACTTATTATCTCCAAAGATATCTTCCTTTTTGCTTTGGACAGGTCCAGCATTTGTGATGATCCTGGAGAAAGGGATGAAAAACTACCTAAAATGATTGGTTTAGTTCGGGAACCCACACTTCAAACAGAAGGGGAGTCACTCAATAGCCACGTGTTGCCAGGAGTAAGTGCTGACACAGCCCTTCTTACTATTTGTAACTGATGAGCGTATATGCTTAACTTGTGTATCTGTAAGCATATGTCTGTACTGCATGCGGATTGTAATTTCTAAAGAAGCCTGTGAGAATTCATGATAGCCTAGAAGGCTTTCACATCAGAAATTTAATATGAATATCTTCAGGTTTCAAGATATCTCTTTAATTTGGAAATGAACAAACTTCTGTATAAGAGAATATTGTTGGTGTGAGTTTCAGCAATGTCCTGTCACTGACTCACTGCATAACCTGGCTAGAATGCTGAGGCGTACGCCTTGGTCTTCCCACCTGTAAAAACAAAATTAACCATGTTCTATTCACCTTCCTAGGGACGATGTGCATTTTTATGCAAGTGCCTTTATGAAAGTAATGCCTTTGTTCACTTCCAATGCTTTCTTGCTTGTGCTATTTGTCACTTAAAAAATATCTCCTCTTACACTTCTCTCTCCTATACATGAGGTTTATTAGCGGGTAGTTATGCTGTGTTATCCTTGCCTTCAAAGGTCAGTTAGTCTGCTGCTGTGAGTATATGAAACCTTTTTTTTTCATTTAGATTTGTGGAAATGTTTCAGAAGGAAGGGGGGGGAAAAACCCCACACTTGATAAAATAAAGATGAGTTTTCCCTTAATGCCTTGCGTTAATACAAGTGAACAAGCATGGGTGCTTCACTCACGATGTTGCATGAATTTGTGAATGTTATTTGGCTGGTTGGGAGGGCAAGCACATTAGTAGCAGTATCTGAGGTGTGCACAGTGTCTAACACAGTTGCTGGGACTCCCCTGTGTCGTCGTAGTCCTGAAAGGTTACAGACCTTTTCTCTTGATTAATAGATACTCCAAGGGAAAGATCTTGGAAAAGCAAATAAAGCACTAAAGCGTTTCTTATAAACTTCACTAGGGTTGGGTACCTAATTGCTGTTTCTGCTTTGGAAAATTTGGGGAGGGAAGAAAGGAGGTGCTTGTAATAGTTTTTACTACCATATAAGTCTTCTGGCTTTTGTCACTTGCTAAAACTGATCTGGACGTTAAGCAGGCTTTAAGTAGTTTTGCCGAAATCCAAGTTAACGGCTAGAGACTCATACTCAGCAAGCAATACTGGTATTTGTCAGATGTTAAAAGCTTAGCTAATTGGATGATGGGTATCCCTCATGGAAATCCTAGCAGTATAAAACAAGATTTTTTGTAGAGCTGTAAGGGAGGCCTGTGGATGCTGCTGGAGTACCTACTGGGTGCCACACCCAGAGATCTCTTGCAGGTGCTAAATCTAATTGGGCATGTTGGTAAGCAGTAATGCCTAGGGATTTGGTTTGTACACAAGGAAAAACGCTAGGATTCTCCCTTGAATAAACTGCTTTTTAAAAGTCCTTTAATTAGAGTATAGAAGTGCAGTCTTGATAAATGTGTAACTAAACTGTTTAGCTTACTGTTTCAGTGTAACTAAAGTACATAATGATTGTGTTCAGCTATACGTGTCACTTGGCACTTCTCAAGAATGTCGATACACTCTCCACAACCCCAGGATTACAGCATATGTTGTAGAAGTACAGGGGCAATAGGAAGAGGCAGTAGTGCTTAGAACTTATTTATCAAAAACCGTGGCACCAATGACACAAAATCACCTTCCAAAGACTGGAGAGAAACAGACTTAACCCCTTCTTTCCTGCTCTGATAAGCAAAGTAAGTTCCAAAGCTCTCTTCAGAGGAACATCTGAAATGATGGAGGTGTTTGCTATAGTGCTTGGCCTGCCTTAGAAAAAATATTGTCGATAGCTGTCTGTAGTTGATTAAAGAAAGTGTGTGTAACACCAGTCATGGCACGTGTATTCACAATGTGGGAACCACCTTACTGCCTGTCTGAATCAGCCATCTTCTTCCCTCCACCCCTCGTAGGGAGACCTTAGAGCCTTCCAGTCCCGGAGTCTGTTGTTCGCAGGTTAAACTGAAAAGCCTTGGCACAGAGCTTAGCAGTACTGGACTAGCTCAGGAGAAAAATGTGCATAAAGAAGAAATTATACATCTTTCATTCCAGCTGACAGATCTTAAAATCATTGTTCTTTAGGGAAAAAAAATTAAAAAAAATAGAGGAAAACTGTGTTTGAGTTGATTAGTTATTCCAAAAGCCTCACACGAATTTCCTCTTCCCTGACATCACAAAAGACTTTTTTTGTAGGAGCTGTTGCTCTTGTCTTCTGACTTGAGCCTGACTTTACCGCTCTACGCATGGCATAGTGGGGCTGCTCTTATGCTGCCGGTGGGAGCTCCACCTGTTCACCAGATCCCTAATCTTCATCAAAATGCTATGAGTGTTCCTTGGATTTGTGCTGGATCTGTGTCAATTTATAGACTGTTTAACCACAACTATATTTTCTGTCTTCCATCTGTATTGGTAGAATATTTTTGATACTGAAATGTTCGTTCTGTCCTAGTTCCTGTTGCGTGACTGAGTATAACTTCAGGAATGGTAGCTCCTTTCAATAGGAGCATTTGTTAATTGATCTGCTTTTCTGACGCAGTGTTCCTTTTTTTGACCTTGAGGGAGTATTTTTGCCTGCTTGTACTGCAGTCAAATTCATGTCTCTCTTTTCCAGCCACCCACCTTCTACTCATGGCCCTCAGTTGCACGAAAAAGTAGATGGTCTTTATTTTGAAAAAAGCCAAGAAGTACAGGAAGTACATGATGACTATTCAAGTAGCGGATGTTCTCACTTTTTTGAGTCAGTGCTGAATAATCTTTAGGGATGATAGTATTGCAGATGAATCGGAACTACTCAGTTGAGGAGACCTGATCTTATTTATTATGATCCATGTACTACTGCATATGGGGGGGCTGTGCTGCTATTGATCCCAGCTGTTCCACTGGAGGCAGTGGGAGCTTTGAGGAAAGGTTTAGAATGAAAACTATGATTTGTAGCTAGTAGCCAAGCTTTTTGGGTGGCATTTTGAGATGTACAAACCTCGGGCATACAGTTTCACTAGAAATTACTTCTTGAAGTGTGCAATGGCACATAAGCTTAGCTGCCAGTTATTATAGTGTAGGGTTAAGAGCTACATCATTGATTCGGTGACTGATGTTTTGGGGGATGTCCTGCTTATGTATTGGAGATGGCAAATGATACTCCATTGCTTTGTTCCCGAGAAGTAACATTTTATAGATAGGATAGCTCTAGACAGTGTTTTAAAACTTTTTTTTGTCAAAGGGTAATGGAGCCCTACAAAATAAGAACACCTTTCAAATACATAATTGGGATGATCTAATCTTGCTGAAAAAGGGAGGTCCTGCCTATTTCATTGTGCTTCCCCTCGGGATTGCTGGACCCCTTGCTAAACTGGCAGGAAAAAAACTAACCTGATCAATAAAAAGTAAATAATCTGAGTTAAGTTAACGAATATATAAATGCTAGCATTGATGCAGGGAAGGGGACCAAACCATGCAGGTGGGTGCAAGGGGCCTGGATGGGTAGTAAACTGTCCCTTTTAAGGCAGCTCTAGGTATGACAGTACAGATGAGTAAGTCTGTCCCCTGTTACCAGGGTAAAGTGAAAGTTTGAAATAAAGAGGAAGGAAGGTTTGCTGGGGTAGGGGAACAAAGGAGAAATTTGTGCTTGACTGTGTGGTAATTGAGCAGATGGAACTTGTGGCTTCCTTTTATATGGCTTTCTTCTTTGAAAGTAACTTTCTTTTTTAAATGGTCTGTGGTTACTGATGCACTTTTTTTTTTTTCTCTTAATTGTTTCAGTTGGAAGAGTCCCCAAGTGAGAAGCAAATAAAGAGCCCTCTTCTGTATTCAGAAAGAAAACCTGTTAAGCTAGTCAGGCGCAGGTCTTTAGAAAAGTCCTTGGACCTGAATGAGAATGAAAATCTTCCAGAGAGGAGCAGTGCCTCAGATAGTGAAGAAGGTAAATCTCTTAACAACTGGGATCTGTAAGACAAACTGACTCTGGTGTTCCATCTCACTTGTGGAACAAGTTAGAGAGCTTTCTGATCTTATGAAACTTTTTTGCTCATTTGTTTCACAGAATTGCAGCAAAAACATGTTTGTATCTTACTTAGTTTCTGGGGAGAAAAAAAAAGTTGTTGGGGGTGTTTTGAATGAAAACAAATTGTGGTTTTGCTTTTTCTCCTTTGGTGGGTAAAAAGCTGCTAACAGCTTAAACTAAAGAAAAAAAAAAATTCTTGACAATGTGGTGGTGTTTTTCACTTTCCATGCTCTCACAGGTATTTCAAATATTTTTCTTTCCTTTGTTTTCACTTCCTGGGAACTGAGGGGAAACATTGCAGACTGTTCTTCGGTTTCTAAAAGATTCCCCCACCCTTCCCACCCCGCTTTTACACTTCTACTTTCTTAAGGCATATGGGCTTCAATGTTATAGATGGAGTAAAGTGAGGAACTCACTGAAAGTCCAGGCAAGACAACTTCCCAGCTTTCAGGAGTGTATTGTGCATATTCTGAATTTGATCTGAAGATGAAAAACCTTAACATGTATCTTGGAGCAGCTTACACTTTGTGTGCCAACAGAGTTAGTATCTTAATGGATCCTAATATACCATCCTCATAACTCATACCTCATTACCCAGTACAAGATGAGAAAAAACTTGGATACCACAGTAGTGTAGAGATTGTAACTTGGCTGCTACATGCTTCCTTTCCTTTTCTCACAGTACGAGAGAAAAGCATAGCTGTATGTCTCATATGGGTTTTGATGTGACCATTTTTGCTATGTCCTGGGGAGAGAGTAAGGCCAGAACATGCCTTCTACCCAGGCTGGATGACAATGGGACTTGTGCTGAGGTCTGTGGGTGCTTGTTCTGTGGTCCCGCAGTAGCCCCTGACAAGTTCTCACTCTCTAAGGTGAGCTTTTCACTTACTGCGGGGAACTTTTCTGTGCCAAAGGGCCGTAGTTGTTCAAACAGCTCATTGAAGTTGTGGTGGATGTTCTGTTAAATATCCCAATCTTGGACTCTGTAAATGCCTTTAAAACAAGGTGTGCACAACCTGGGTTGGTTCCAAAGTTGTGTGTGCAAATGAAGGACAGAAAAGCTCAACAGTAACAGTGTGCTCAGTAGCAGCTGAATATTTCTTTCATATGTGAAGAGAGCACTTACTTTCATCATCTGTTGGCGGGAATAGAACAGTTCAGTTAATTGAGGCTAGTTCTTAATCTGGCTGAGAAACTTTGCATCTCATCCTTTCAAACAGAGTTGGCAACTGAAGTTGCTTGCAGGTATCATTATGTTGGGATCACTGAGGTGTCCAGGAAGGCTTTCAAAGTCATGGATCGAATTGGCCGTCTGCAAGTTGTGATTGTTGCCTGAGGATATACTTTATATTCAAATAACTTTCCTTTTGCTCACCTACGCTGCTTCTGTGTTTGCTCGAGTTCATATTCAACTTGACGCGTGTCAGGTTGTAACATTTTTGTGAATATACCTACTTGAACAGGCTGCTGCTTATGCCATACTCTACACATTTAACAACCTTCACAAATTGTTTACTCCATCACAGGTGTATCTTTTAGAGCAGCAGAAAGACTTTATTTTTTTATGGCAAAGGTCTCCAGTGAAACTGGTCAAAAATAGTCCTGTTGTCTTTCATGCTGCTGTTTGCCTAAATGATAGCAGTAAAATACTCCCTGTCATCCCTGCATTGGTGATGTTGGGTAAATAGAGCATATTAAACTGGAGTTGTCTCTTTAAAAGAGAACTGACTTCATGCTGCTTTTCTTATTTCTCCTCCATTCCCCAAGACTAGTCTCTTTTGATTCAGAGCAGGATTTTCTAGTCCCACAACATTAATCTTTTTTTCTCAGATTCCCTTCTTCATGCTTAGAATTTTCTTTTTCTTCTGTTTCTGTTTCCTGTTGCAGTTGCCCCATACCCTTACAAGGTGAATGCCTTCATGCAAACGAAACTAGCTTTCCCACATGGCAAAGGTTTACCCATGCAATTAATAACTCTTGTGTCCTCTGGCTCATACTCAGGCTGCCCATGGAGGTGTCCTGGCAAATAAGGTGAGGGGCAAGCTCAAGACTGCTGTTCTCCAACTCCGGGTCCACCTGACACCCAAAGCTGGAATGCCACAGCCTCGGCAACAATAGCTCCCTTGCCCTAAGCAATTCTCACATCGCTTACTGGGGGATGGGGCTGTGTGTGTGTGTGTCTCACTGCACCACTGGCCTATTGACCTGCATCTTGGTGCTTTTGTTCGGTTTCATAAATGGGAGTATAAATCTTGAGCCATGACAAATTTTTGGCTAAGCTAAAAATTAATCTCTGTGGTCTTGGATTCTAAATTTCAGAAAACAAATTTTAGTTCAAGCACAGAATATATATTTACAGAATAGAGTCAGGAGACTCTGAATTTCCTCAAACAACTCTTTTGTATGTAGGGTTTCTATATGCAATGACAATGTTCGGCAGCATAAAATACTTCAAAGAAAGAAGGGGGAAGCAGGAAATTGGAAAACAGTCTTTTCTGTTAGAAAGCTTTGCTGTATATGGGGACATCATAAATTCCTGATCTTGCATAACTTGGCAGACTTACTGTATTGTTTCTATTTGTACTAATAACCACCTTAAATGCGTGGTCTGCAGGAGAGCATAACTGCTTGCACTGTAGTGCTGTAGATGGGTACAGTGGTGGCTTGACTTTTCTTGCAGATAGGAATATATGGGGCAGAAAATGTTTGAAATACAGGTTGGCTGAAATTAGTTCAGCCCTGTTTTCGTTTTTTTTTTTTTCCCCAGGTTAAGAAATTTTGGATATACAATGTATGTAAGGAAGAGTAGCCCTGTTATCTTGTTGGCATTTTAGTCAAAATACCGAAAGCATGTATTTTGTTGAATATATAACTACCAATTATTTGTTGCTTTGGGGTTTGGAGGATACATATTTGAGTTACCTAAAGGCAAAAGGCATAAGGGTTCTTTATCTTGCAAACTGGAAAAAGCTAGCATTGTCACACTACTTACTCAGTATCTCCCCAAGTTAATTTTGTACTTAAATTTTTTAAAGTATAGGAGAGCTCTTTGGTAATGGTTAATATTGCTGATGCAGTCTTTAAATAGATGGTGTCTGGAACATGTTCACTCTAGGAATTGGTTTTATTGACTTGATTTCAGGTGTATCTGGCTAAAGGCTCCTATCTGCGTATTCTTCGTGTGGTGTGCAATTTTTCCCCATCCGCAGTGGCATAGAAATCCTCAGCAGTGCCAAGATTTGCATATATACATTTTTTTTTTTCCTCCTGATCCTTCCCCAGCTCCGTGGAGTGGAAGAATCAGCCATCTTATTCATTTGTTTGATAGCCTCTGCTCTTACCGGTTCAGCTTTCTTAATTTGCTTGTGGTGTGTGTTTAGCTTCAAGCTGTTGGTTGTTAATGGGAATTTTAAGAACAATTTTTTTTCCTGCGCCTTTTCTCCCCCTCCAGTTTTCCGTCTCTCTTCTTGCACTGTAGATGTTTTGAAACCTCTGCAATCGCTGCTGCATAATAGTATTCTTTCAAGCATTATTTCACAGCTTGCCTTGCAGTGATGAAAATGACCTTATGAAGTGCAAGGCAACAGTGGGGGAGGGAACAGACTTGCTGTCTTCATGCTGAACCAGGACACTCTGGGTAATGTGTTTTGCTTCTGGATTTTTGGGTCCCTAGGGATCCTAACCTAAAGTCAGAATAATCTCATCTTCTCTTATCAGACAGTAGCTCCAATTCATCTATAAATGTATTCAGGCTAAGAGAGTTAGTGGTTGATAGTTGCATACTGCTGAGGGGTTAGAACAGCATTAAAAGTTAAGGAGTTAGATTGATATCTAGATACGTGCACAAAACACTTTGTTCATAAACAGCGTTTCTAAGCCAGTCCTAGGTAAAATGCTTGATGTTGCTCTCAGTATTGAGATAAATAAAAGGCAGGTAGGCTTACCAGGGTGAGTTAAAACAAACAGAAAACAGTAGACAAACGTGCACATTCATTTGTAGCAGAGACGAGTAGTTAAAACTTTCTATTCTGTTCAAATTGCAAGCGTGTATACTGTATACTTATTTTTTGCTATGCTACTGTTCCTGCTCACTGCTTCATCTAGGATTTCTACAGATAAATTCTGAGAAGCCCAAATGGAAGTGACTTGAAGCTTGTCAAGCTCTTGGTGTATGCAGCAACTTGCTTCCCATATGTGGAACTCACAGCAGCATTCATACATGCACCTTCCAGACCTATTGTCTGAAAGATTTCCAGGCTTTCTGGAAGACAGCTGTTTGAATCCTAGCATTTGAAGTGGCTGATGGGCCTGATATATCAACCCAGTTTCAGCTTGGATTTTCTGAAAATACTGCTTTATGTGATAACACCCTTTTTAAAAAAATTTTGTTTGTTTGTTCCAAGAGCTGAGGGATTGTAAGTAAAAACATATTTTTCATGTATCTCAATAGATACTTTCATGCACTTGGCACTTCATTGGCTATTCCTTATTAGAGACATGACTAGATAGAAATAGTGTAGGTAAATCAACTAACGGGAAATTTTGTATAGACCTATGGATGCTCTTGCTTAAGACTCAGTACAAGGAGGACAGACTTCATGCTTGAAGAGTAAAATATCTCAGTAGCAAGGTCTGTACCTTAAGGTAATAATGCATGGGCTTTGTGCATATCATAAGTTGCTGTGGCTTACCAAATTACCTCACATTGGCAGAAACACAGTAGCTGTCCTTGGGCGTTTCAGGTGAACATAAAGTTGTGTTGTTTAGCTAAGCCTCACTGGGGCAAAGGTAACTTGTATTATCTTGTATTTGCTAAGACATAAACAAATAGCTGTCAAAGCTTATCTGATGCATGGTGACTTGATCATGTATCTGGGCCTTTGTATTTTTTTTTAAGTGGTAACAGATTCCTTGGGTATGTCAAGGTCCAGCTAAGACTCAACCAGAGTAACTAGGTTTGAATTACCTGGTATCTGACTCCATGCGTGTTAGCTGATGCGCAGTAGGCAAAGGGGATGTCAACATCAATATCTGAAGCTTCCTGTCTCTGAACGAAAGAGGGGAAGTGGGGAGTGCACTCGGAAAGGAGAGGTCTGTAATGTTGTTGCGGTCTTGTTAGCTGAGGTCAAACTTACAGTTCACTCAGACTGCATTTTGCTGGAATTGGGCTCAGCTCTTGAGAGGAAATACAGTGAACGTAAGCTCAAAACCCAGGCTGAATTTCTGGCTTCCCACAGAATGTTTCAGCACAGTAGAATTTGTATTCTAGCATGTAATGACTGCATATTGGCTGGTTAAATACACCTCTTAAAATGCGTGCTTGCTTTCTGTCCCACCTCACAATTGTATAGACTTACAACTGCATAAGCAGAACACGACGTAGCAAGGAAGTCCATCTCCTGTGCATCACAAAAATACGGCACTCATGCTTCACTTTTGGGGTCATACATTGAAGCCTGATTAGGTCAAAGAATTTTTTTGGAGGCAGGTGTATAATAGGGAGTTTTAGCAGGCTAGAAGCAGCACTAGAGTGGAAGTCTGCTCAGGGTCAGAATTGGATTTCATTGGGGACTGTTGTAGTGTTTAGTTGCTGCATTTGCATTTATCAATACTGACTACTACCAAGCAGTACTGTTTTAAGTGCTGTAACCTTAGCCTATAGGCAGTTTGTGAACTATAGCTTGATATTCAAGCTACCTTTGCATTGGTGGCTGGCACTGACCTTTGCTAGCTCTGAACATTCATTTGTATCAGTTGAAAGGTTAGGCATCGTGACTTCTGTCTTGCTTCCACAAGATTTGCTTTCAGACTTTTTGTTTCGTTTTAGTGATGTGTGGGGGTGGGTTTTTTTGTTTGGTTTTCTGGTAATTATAGCTTAGGATGGATTTGTTTCTAAAGCATAAGCAGATTGAATTGGGGTTGGCACAGGAAACTGCTTGCCCTCCAGGATTATAATTCTATCCCTTATCTCTTGCAAGAGTAGCTGAGATAAGCACAAAGCTGAGTCATGCCAGCAACCAACAAGAAGCAGAAATAGCAAAGATCAGTGTTGCAGCCACAGAATGCCACTGGGGCGCTTGGTGGTGGTTTTGAAATAGGGGACGGTGATTAAGCATCTTGTTGCACTTTTCAGGACTGCATGGAGAAGGGTACCTCTTGCATTCCTCTTATAAATAGGTTTGGAGGGAAGAACAGTTTGAGGAACTGTTTGGGAGTCTGTACCTGTCTCTTAGACTGTGGACACTACCAGCATTACAGATGTTAAAAGCAGAATTCTGAAACTAGCCACAAGTAAGAAGAAAGCTAGTATGGTTTTACTGTCCTGCTTGCTATGCATGTGTCCTTTGTACAATAGACACACATATTAATGAAGATTATGCTAACTTTTTGTCTTCCCCAATGTTTCCTGTAGGATTAGTAGAATGCTAAAGGCAAAACTAAAGGGATGGGACCTTGTGATGTTGATTTATCAATTTATATTTGCACAGGGAAATGGGAGGGGGGTTGGGGGCTAGAAAATCAACTCTGGACTTTGCTCCTGAAGACAACCTACCTACCAAATCATGTGCTGCTATCATTACTGAGTTTCTGAGAGTGAGAAACAAATGCTGATGCAAGCTTGGGAAGGATTTGAGCTGTAATAAAGCTTAGAATATTATTAAGTTTCTTCATAATACTGCTCTTTTCTTAACCTGATCTCTCTGCCTTTCCTTAGCAGTGAAGGAGAGTGTCTCTGAGAATGATCTCTATGGGAGACTTTTTATAAACAGAGTTTTCCACATCACTGCAGACAAGATGTTTGAAATCCTTTTCACCAATTCTCACTTCATGCAGAGGTTTCTCAATTCCAGGAGTATAGTAGGTAATACGCTCTTTTTCCTTCTGTGTTGCAAACTATCTTGAAAATTTCAACCTCTGAGAAATGTTAAATAGGGCTAAATTGAATTTTAAGTTTCTCCTTGCTTTAAAAGAATTTTGAAGCTTTTAAATATCCTCTCTCATAGTGGAAGTTTAAGTTAGCCTGTTTGTTTCTGTAGATCAGTCACATTTCGGAGTAGAAACCTTATTTCAGTGCACCACAAAACTGCACCTTAATGCCTGAATTTTGGGTAGGCTATTAAAGTTGATTCATTCTGTGGGGTATTTCTGATTACATTGTGTCCCAGAAATAGTGAAATGTGTATGGCTGGCACACAGGCAAAATTATTGCATCCTCCTAAACGATACTCACAGGCTTTAATTTTCTGGATGAGTAAATTTTATTCACTGAGAGCATAAGAACAGAAAATTAAGTCAAAAAGCGTAATATTTATTCAGTGTCAGCTTGGAAGGCAAAGTGGCAAAAGCTTTTGATAATGCGAAGTGAATCTATTCAACTTTAAGCAGATGGGAAATGATATATTTTCATTTAATTGCTTACTCTTCTCCCCACCCTCAAGTCTCTTTCAGTAGACTGAGGTTCAGCTACTTAGTGCCTCACCTTTGTTCATCAGTGAACTACAATTTTCCCTTTTCCTGCAAAACACACAACCATTTGGAATCAGTTTTCAGTCTCTCTCCCCACCACTGTTCTTAAACTGTTAAGATATGAAAAGGCAGAGATAATGCCTTTTAGGTAATCTGCAGGTGAGATTTTGCGTAACTTCTCATCTAGATGCTGTATCAACCCCTTGGAATAGAGATTCCAGTGGCAATCAGTTGAGGACTTTGACATACACTGTAACGATTAACAATCCACTTTGTGGGAAGTTCACAACTGCAACTGAAAAGCAGGTACTGTGTGCATGTGTGCGTCTGGTGCCCTTTAAAGCCAGGGAGAGGTCAACTCTACAGTCTGTCAGAGATCTGACCGTGGATTAGACTTCAGTGAGCTGAATGTGGATCTGCAGTTTAAACGTAGTATCTCTAAGGGTAGCTTGCTGCCCCTCTCGCTATTTGTGAGCAAATGTGGATGAAATCCGAGAGGCTTTCTACCCTTACAGATGGCTGTAAACTTGTCCCACAAAGTCTGTGGGGAAAAGTGTTAACATCTCTTATGAATTAGGGGGTGCAAAGATGCAATTAAATGCTCTCAGTGTCTGCTTCTGGGCTCCCCAGTATGGGAGAGAGATGGAAAGAGTCCAGCGAAGGGCCACTAAGATGATTAAGGGACTGGAGCATCTAATGAGAAACGGCTGAGAGCTGGGGCTGTTTAGCCTGGAGAAGAGAAGGCTCAGGGGGGATCTTACAGTGTATGTAAGTATCTGAAGGGAGGGTGCAAAGAAGATCGAGCCAGGCCTTCACCACCAAAGGCCACACCTTTCAGTGGTGCCCAGTGACAGGACCAGAGGCAATGGGCACAAACTGAAACACAGGTGGTTCCCTCTGAACATCAGGAAACACTCTTTTATGTGAGGGTGACAGAGCACTGGAACAGGTTGTCCAAAGAGGTTGTGGCGTCTCCTTCCTTGGAGATACTGGAAAGCCATCTGGACGTGGTCCTGGGCAACCAGCTTTAGATGGCCCTGCTTGAGCAAGGTTCTTGGACAAGATGACCACCAGAGCTGCCTTCCAATCTCAACCATTCTGTAATTCTGCTTTGGGAAAGGTCTCATAGGTCAGTCTCAAAGAAGAGCTGTGGTCATGAGTTGGTGGTCGGCCTTGCATCTGGTACTTGAAATGGCAGTGGGGAAGTACTGCTGCTGCCTATGTTGGCTCTAGTGGGAGGCATCTTCTCTTTCCCCACCCCATCTATACTTCCCATTCTTAACTGTTTTCTATTGTGGTTGTTCAGGCTTTCTCCCTACTCTAGATCAACCAACTCCAAGTGAACTAGCCTAAGGAATTCAGGCTGAAAGGTGGGGGGGGGGGGGGGGGAATAAGGTACCATGAATATACCTTCTTATTTTTATTTTATTTTATGGTAGATCCTGCATAAGCAGAGCCAGAAAGGTCAGTCTTATCAGGTGGATGCTGAGGTTCTGACTCATGATGTCCCCTACCATGATTATTTCTACACTGTGAACAGATACTGCATCAGCCGCGCATCCAGTCACAAGTGTCGATTACGGTGAGCCTGAGTGGTGCACAGTGGGAGGGGAGAAGCCAAAGCACGTATGTTATGGGTTGATGAAGTGTGCTTATCAAAACGTCTACTAACAGCATAGAGAAGGTCAGCTTCTCTTGAAGTTGAGGATCTCTTCTGAAAAATAAGCTTGGTTTATCCTTGTCACATGTATGCTGTATTAGGATCTCATTAATTCAGTGAGAAACAAACTCTTATGCTGACTCTACGAGGTACAGAATTCATCTCCAAGACTGAACTGGGTTCTGACCAGCCTTGTGTTTTTGAGTGCAGCTGTGTGAGTGGGATAAAATATTGTCTTATTACAAAGTTTCCCAAATATCCTTGTTAAGGGCCTGCAGAGGAGGATGGCTTCACAGGAAGGTGCAGGAAAGATGGAACATACCTACCTTTGCAGGGAGGGTACTCAAGCGAATCAGGCTTCATTATTAAACTCTGCCTAGATAGGGGAGTTTTAAAAGTCACTTCCCTTTCCTCTCTCATTTGTTGAAAATGCCTGAAATGATCAAGTTCCACATTCAGTGCGTTTGTGTGACATTCTGACTATGTAACCCTTGGTAGTTTTTGTGCTGCCTTTAGTAAGACCTTTTATTTCAAACTTCATCAGTACCCAGGAAAGGAAAGCAAGCCTGGATTTTATTCGGGCTTATCTCAGGCTATAGAAGTGCTGAAGACTCCCTCTCTACTGGGACGAGAAGGGAAGAAAGGTCCTTGAACAACTGTTCTGGATGATTTTTTTTTTGAGTGAGTCATTATTCCTCTTTGAGGGCTATATTTGTTTTATCTGAGACACATGTCAGCCCTAAGGTAAGAGCAAAAACCTAGGTTTCAATATGGTGCACAGAGCATGCATGTATAGAACAGAAGGTGCATGGTGATGTTACAGCTGGCTTTATTATACTGCGTTTAAAATGGCTCAAAAACTCTATTTGAAAGATGCTGTTTTGTTAGACTAGAAACACAGTGGGCTTACATTGATTTGGATGATTATTTGAAAACATTAAAGCGTATTCTAGGATGGTCAGTGTTCTTGACTTAAATCAAAATCACAGGCTATCGTTTTGTCCTTTATAAAGAGCTTTGGGATTCATTCAGTTGTTAGAAGCAGCCCTCTGAAGGGTTCTACTCCAATTCATTTCTATTCTGGATGCATTACTGATTAGCTTGATCTGGGGAATGCAAGGCAGGAATGTCGCTTCCCTCTGTCGTGCTCACAGAAGGACAGATTTTAATTTCTGTCTGCTCAGGGTAGGATCTGAGTACTTGGTGCATGAGTGGTGATAATGAATTTCACCTGCTGTCATTGCGGTGCCCATGTAATACATCATGTGTACACATACGGAGTAAAAAGTGGGACTTTATGATGTGAAAGCCTGAAGCCTATTTTAAATGTATGTTAAAATGAGAATGCTTCAGAGGAGAGAAATTCTTTGCTAGTCTGAGTCTGAAGGAAAAAAACTTAAAAATGTTCCCTATAATTTGGACACTTGAATGTCCTGAAGCGTTAGCTAGATATGTTGTCTTTGCTACTGTCTGTCTCTTGCCTTGCTTCAGTGTTAAGTGCTGCCCAGGTGGAAAGGCAAGGCAGTTCCAGTTGCTACTTCAGATTACGGACATAAGCTTGAGGCCCGCTTCTGATAAGCGGTTTCTGCTATCACTGCGCTACCTAGAGAGCATTCTTTCACTATTGCATTCTGTTTATTAGGGTTTCTGCAGAAGTAAAGTATAAAAAACAGCCCTGGGGCCTTGTCAAGTCTGTAATTGAGAAGAATACCTGGGGAGGAATACAGGAAAACTTCAAACAACTTGGTGAGGCATTTTCTCTTTTGGTAGAGTAAGGAGGCTACCTTTCCTCTGTATGTTTTCATGTCTGTCAAACTTGATTTCTTAAAGAATGGTTTGAAAAGAAGGCAATGCCAAAAAAATCTCCAAGTCAGAAGTTCCTGTCATCAATATATCTACCAATTCCAGGGTGTAAAAGAAGCCTGGTAGCTTAATGCTAACAAGGAGCTCTTGTATACCTTGTCAGTAATTGCTTTCTGAAGGAAACATGAGGAGCAGCAGGAAAGCTGTTAAAGATAGGCGCACACAGTTGAAATTAAGTATTTCCTCGATTGTGGGTATGAGAAGAGAAGCAGTGGCACTTGGCAGGTTCCTTGGCTATCTCTGCTAACAGCCTGGCCGGCCACGGCTGCGGGCTCACAGTCTAACACAATTCCTAGTCTCAGTCTAACAGTGTCTTGAAGTGCTCCTCCAACTGCTGTCTAACATATCGTTAAACAATCCTGCACAGGCTGAATGTACATCATAGCTGAAAAGTGTACTAAGTGCCATCTAGCAAATAGGACAGGTAGTATAGGTCAAGGTGTAGTTTATGTCAATTACCTGCTTTAAGTTCATTTACTAGAAGATGCACTTACTCCTCTCACTGCCACCCTCCATATCTCACAATTTAAGTCTTCAGTGCTAGGCTTTTCAGCTTTCCTTTTGAAAGTTCGGTAACCTCATTTTTTCCACTGCAGAATCAGATCTCCTAATGGAGGAATATGCAATTAATCAGTCCATAGAAGACTCTGGAAAATTAGTTGCCCTGAGACGAAGACGACGCACTTTACACCGGAGTCTGGCAGAATCACTTTTTTTTTTCTTCCCAACACTCCTCTGGTGACATGGGAGTGGAGTCCCAGGGCAGCATAATAGGTAGGAATTTTTGTATCAAGTGTTTTCAAAAAGGTATGTGGAAGAAAGCTTAACTCTTAAAATAGTGCAAGAGTAACACTTGCGTGTATGTTAATCTCATTGTCTTTACCTAATTGGTGTGATAGCAAATGCTTTAGTGTGTTCAAGCTTGCATAAAATAGACTTGGAGTATGTATAGTCACTTTTATGATGAGTATCTCACGAAATCAAACCTTAATCTCACCACTTGTTTTTAAAACAAACAAACAAAGACCAACCAAAACTTAAAATGCTGCACTGTACCTGCATAGGATAGAAAATGAGATGGGATCAGAAAGAAATTTAACCTGACTTGTGTAAAGTTGCTGAAAATTTGCTTTATTTCTTCAAATAACTGCGCACCCAAGTTGAGTTGATTTAAACTTTGTCACTCACCTCTTGGCACTGTCATCTTGGTTTTGTTTCCTTTTTTTTTTTTTTTACGTTAAGGAGTCCATTTCCTGTCTGCTTCTGTAATTTCTGGGTCACTGAAGCATTTATTGCAGTTCCACTGCCCTTAGGCACAACAGACTTGGCCACTAGCATATACAATATTAGCTATACCTACAGAGATGACTAACATCTGTGCACTAACGTGTACCAGAGAACGGTGGATTTCATGACACAAGCTGACTTGTAAACACTGAAGTAGGAGCAAGTGCTCTTTCCTGGAGGGGGGACACAACACTGAGTATAGTATTGAGAGAGCATTTGGATCAACAGCATATATAATGGACTCTTTACCTAACTGAGATTATTTCCTGGTTACTTAATTTTGCTACTGCTGCTCCACCTTTTCAGGTGAGTGTGTCTGTCTCAGTATATGTGACAGCTTTCGTGTATGCTCTTGTCCAGGGCAGAAAATATGAATGTAAGAAAGTGTTTTAGGAGATCAGGGAAATTATATTTAAAGATCAGCCTGACCACAGTGGTAGGTGATTGCTGCTCAGTTTGGAGAGGACGTGCACACTTCCTGTCCCTCACTAGTGTCTGGCCCCTGTTGTCTGATGACTAGCAGATGCTCTTTCAAAAGGCTGTCATCAGGCCAATATATAAACCAAGCTGGTGAGGGTGGGACAAGTTAAAGGAGAGCCTGGTTTGACACTGGTTGTCAGAAAGACTAATGTGGCCAGGAGAACAAGCAGAAGAGAGCCACTTTGCAGCCTGTCTCTGCTCATGTGTGACTAGCAGTCTGTGTGCTGAATGAGTGTTAGTAATGGATGGATTGTAGCCTTCTCAGGCTGTCTGGTTTTAATGGGAACATGCCCCAGAGCTGTGTTCTCCCCAGCATACTGGGGTGGGGGGGAATCCTGCTCCCAGTGGAGGAGCCTGACTGTACGGCTGACTTGTCTGAGGTGACTGCAGAAATGCCTTGGTGAATATTGGAGATGATCTTGTGCACCCACATGATCAGTTATTTTTTTCCATCAGAAGCTGTTGAGCTATTCTGTGTGAAATGCTGGGCACTGACATGTATCTGCAGGCATCCTTTAGGAATGTTCTTCAGTACTTTTTAACCTCCTTCTCTTCCATGCCCTATAGGAAGGAAAAGAGATGCTGTAAGTAGGACCACCACCATCATTGTAGTAATGAGTGTCTTGTAAGTACTCACTTGCATTAAAACGTGGCTTGACTCAAACTCATCTTGATCTTTATCTGTATCTGCCTGAACCTCACTTGCATGTTAACATTGCATGTAGCATGATAGAGCCTAACCTAACTTGAATGTATATATAGGAGCATGCAGGTATAGGAGGGGAATGGATTGACTTAGGAAGTGACACATGGAATGAAAATGCTGACTTGCCAAACTAGTCTACCTTGCAGGTTTACATATGTCTGATCCTATAAACACATTTCTAGAATTTACTCGTTCCTAGTTGTAAAAGTTCAAAGAGGAGACACTGTTGTTGTTCCTATAGGTTGCTATTACACAGCTTTAAGCTGTGTAATAGCAACTTAGCGGTTGCTAAGAATTGTTTGGGTAGATCTTTATTATCAGTATAGCACTGCCCCACACCCTTTTTCTCCCAGAAGGATTCTCTTTTCATAGCTGTCTTTTAGCCCAGATCTTGTTTCTGTAGCATTGCAACCAAAATTGTTACACGACTTGATTTTTCTTCTCTCTGCAGTTTGCTGCTCTTGGTCTTGCTGAATATAACACTGTTTCTCAAACTGTCAAAGATAGAGCATGCAGCTCAGTCCCTCTATCATGTCCAGCTTCAGGAAGAAAGCTCTTTGAAGTAAGTTGAATTCACAATCTTTGCTTTCTTTCTTCCTCAGCTTATGTGAGAATCTGGTCTAAAGAAATAGCTTTTGAACAATGAAACTTGGTGGTAAGTTTTCAAAAGCTGCTGAGGCTTGCTCCTCTTCTGTGGTCTATGCTGATATCCAGTGACGTGTCTGACTGCATCTTGCAGTAATGAATTTCTCCTCTGACAAGCTGTTTTTTGGGGGAGTGTTAACCTTAGCTTGCATTTATCACCCTGCTGTGACTCATCTTCTGTGAGTATCGTAGTGCTGATCACAGAACCGAAGTGTTCACTTCATCTTGTGTGAACCAGCATGGTCTCAAATGTAATGTTAAAGATTTATTTAGCTTTTTAGCCTCCTTCTGTGAGTCTCCTGCTAAGTCTCCTCTCCCCCTCAAACTTCCATGTTAGGTGCATTTTGTATTCAGACACATGGAAGAGGCTCGGATGTTGCTTCCTCTCTTGAATATGGTATCAGCAAACAAGTTAAAAACCATAACCTGATCTTGAGTATGGAAGTGGTGTGGTGACCTCCCGTGGTGATCATCTCGGAACTGATTAGAGTAACTTTCTTCATAAGAAGGATCTTGCCCTCTGAAGTGTGAGAACTTACAGCGTAGACGTAATGCGAGCACATTTGTTCTTGGTGGCTGTTGTCTACAAAGGTCTGAAGCAGTATCTTCAAGGCAACAGGGATTGAAATTCAACTGCAGGCAGCTTTTTATGTGGCTTTTGGAAAAGGGTGCTTTTAGCAACGGCAGAGCAATGGTGGCAGAGCACAGTTGCTTTTAGAAAGGCATGGAGGTGCTTGGTTCATGTTTCTGATGTAATCTCAATCTCTTTCAGCATATCCCCAGAAATGGTATCAAAAGAGGAGATCCCTCAATATGATAAGGAACAGGTTAAACATGTGAAGGGAGTTTTAAGAGACTCGATTGAAATGCTTGAGCAGGTAGGTCTGCCAGTCTTTCCTGGTGATACTCTTTGTTTCTCAACTCAAGTTTTTTCCCTTCTGCCATCATAGCTTTTTTTTTTATTTCTTCTGGTCCTAACGGAAGTTTTCATGACTCCTTTACTTGTTTCACCCTAGGCTTGAATTTGGTACAACGGCAGTGCTCGTGTTTCTGATGTTTTGGTGGCTTTTTTTTCCCCATTTTGGACTAAGATTAAATATTCACGTCAATTTTCTTAAACCTGTCAAGTACCTTTATTGGTGAGGTGCATTGATGCAGTTCTGAGTCATGACAAAGCAAACACTGGAGTAATTCAGAACAGATCCTCTTTTCTAAGAAGACTCAAAACATAATGTTAAGTATTTGCCCACCACATCATGGGGTTTCTTCGTTAAGGTTTATCCTGGCTTCTGCTCCCCACTACTCTTCTAGATATTGGCAAGAGCTTCACTTAGCCTTGGTATCAATGGGCTACCTAATCTCCAGTGAAAAACAAATTCTACAGACCTTATGTTTCTGAGAGGCTCCATAGCTATGGAGTTAATCTTCCTTCTTCCCAGTAACTTACACTTCCAGGCTCTTACATAGTACAAACACTATATGAAGAATGAGGTTGTTGAATGCTGTTGTGTGTCTCTGATCCTGAAGTCCAGGACTGGTAAACCCCTAGGCTGAAATTTTCAACTCAGTAAGTGAAGGGCAGTAAATTCGTACTTTGTTTTTTACTTATAACCTATGAATGTTCTGATTTTAAGTTCTTTTATTAAATCTTAAAACGTGACAGAGAAATTATTAGATTAGGAAAGCTGTGGGGGAGTTCACATGTACCTCTATCCATCACCAGTTTGCTCTGTGTTCTCCCACGCGCTAAAGGAGGGTAGGTAGAAAAAGAAGCCATTTTTTATAGTCCTTGTTCAGAGGTGTCTCTGCACACAAAATTGCTATTAATCTATTAACCATTTTGATCACAGCTTGAAAAATTGAGTGCTGGAAATTTCACTGTAGAAATGAATTTCCCGGTTTCTATGCCCTTCTCAGTTTCTCTGCTTACTACCCAAAAAATAAAAAAAAATAAAATAAAATCCTAGTTCTAAGTGTTAAACTGCCTTTTGAACAGTGTTAAAAAAAAAAAGTGAGAATTCAACGACCTTTTTCATCCCAAATAACACTTCCGTCTGGAAGTCATCTTAGTGCCTGTTACCTTGTGTTTTCCAAGGGTTGTCAATAATCTAAACACATTTTGTGCACCAAAATGCACTGGAAGGGCCAGGTACTAAAAGAAAACTCATGCTTTGCTGTCATGTTCCTTAGAGTATTTGCTATGAACATTAACTGTGACTAAAAACGAGTGGGGTAGCTTATCTTCCGCACTGTTGTCTGTCGAGGCGTTAAGACTTTATCGTACTGGACTGTTGGTAATGATAAAGTGTAAGCTGTTAGGAGACCACAGTAAAAGGCAGCTGTTTATAGAAACAGGGAGGAGGAAATTGCATGAAATCTTTAAAAGAAAAGGAGGAGGGAGATGTTATTTTCCTGATACCACTCACCCATGCAGCAGACTAACTAAAGTCATTGGGGGGGGGGGTTATGATGGTTGTATCTTCACAGCTAAAAAGCTCCCTTTCCATGCTCCAAAGAAGCTTTGACCACTTGAACAGGACACAGAGCGGCAAGACTGAGAGTTAATACCCACATCTTGAACGGAAGGCTGATGTCGGAAGAAAAGATGCGTGTGTGAGGACTTGTGGGTAGGGATTGTAACTGTCACCTTCGGACTCTTTACTGTTTGGCTGAAAAGCTGCAGGGAATAAAGGTTTCTGGAAGAAGTGAGTTGGGTTCTGCATTCCCGTAGCCTGGCGATCCGTCTCTCCTGCCAGCCCTGTATCCGGGGGAGTCTCGCTTACGAACAGTAAGCTCTCAAATCCCGTGGTGAGTGAGCGAGGGCAGTTGTAATGCTGGCTAACGAATCTGCAAATTTCGGAGGAGGGCTTGTCTTTGATGAAATCGCAGCTTTTGTGTCAACTTTAAAAATGACCATCAATGATGAAGAGTGTTTTGGAGGAAAAGAACAGGTAGTGGTTTCACAGCCACAGGATATTTATATGCTTTTTTTTCTTAGTCATGGGGACCTTGTAAAACAAGTCACCATCTCTAAGGATGAGTATTTTTAAGATTAACTAACTAAACAGGAAAATGCTTGATACCTCTTTGCTAAATCTCTCTTGCTTGCTGCGAGCTTTGGCAGACTGCCTTCTGCCATATGTTTCTAGCTCTCCCAGAGAAATTTCGGCCCTCGGTATTTTCCCTCCACGAAAGGCTGCTATTCAGTTCTTTAGCGTGGTGTGCCCACTGACGCTGAAGCACCTTTCCTTCTTCTGGCTTCAAGCTTTTTCTAAGCAGCTTGAGAGAAGGAAGATGAAAATAAAAATTGAAAGCGAGGGAAATGGCAACATCCCTGTGGGCTCAGACCGTAGCTGTAGGGCAGCGCTGGCTGGCGTGGTGCTCAGTCTGTCTCGCAGCGGTGCGAACGGCCGAGCTCCTCTGTCTGCAGCCCAGGGTAGGTTAGGGGGTGCGTGTGGGGGGCAGAGTCCCGAAACGCCGGGTCCTGGGGCGAAACCCTACCCTGCGTAGGGTTAGACATGTGCGGTGGCTGCTGTGCTGGGCGGGAAACTTTCCCCAGCCATGCCTGCCCCAACCCCGGGGAGCAGCAAAAGCAGCAAAGGCGTTCACAGCCTTGTTTCCTCCGTCCGCGGAGGGGGAGGCGGGGCTGGGTCGAGGTCTGTCCCCGGCCGCGGGA